TTTTTTTTTTTTTTTTTTGAGTTGGATGAATGTCTGGAGGCATTCAGTGATGGACCCAAACTAAAGTTCATGGGAGAGCCATTAGTTTAAAAACGTAAGAAGTCTGAAGTTGTTTGCTTAATGTCATTTGATTTATTCACAAATACCAATTGAAGTTATATACATTAAATATGTTAAGTTGTTTTCTTTCTGTTATTTGTTTTATTTATTTCATAGTCTAGTACAAGAATTCCAGAGTAGGAGCATACATCAATAGATATTGTTCGTGAAATGTTATTTTGAATTTAGATTATTTTTCTTAGAGAATCTGGAAACAAATTGTCTTTGTACAAACAAAAAGTTATTCATTTAAAAATACTAGTGTAATATTGCCAAACTGTAAGTATGAGTATGCTATCTCTCATAAGACTGAGAGCCATATTATAAATGCATGAAGAAATTCAAGAATGACAAAAATCCCAGAAGTCTGACAACTTTTGTCACAACGTTTGCTCTCCTGTTCACCAGAATATCTTGAATGATGCTTATGAAAACCTAACACGCTATAAAGAAGCAGTCACCAGGGCAGTAGAGATCATTGCTTCCCTTGAAGCTTCCATTGCAACCCATAGAGTTGACCTTGACAGCCCGGAAAAATCCCTAGCGATGCCTCTTTGGGAGCAAGAGGAGTTGGAATCCACACTAGCAGTCATTGAGGACCTCACCGAGAAACTGGGAACTATATCCAGCCCTGAAGCCCAGCTACAACTTCAGTGTACTTTACAGAAACTTGTTTGTAAGAATTTAGCTTTGAAGGAAGCCACCAAAGTAAAGGAAGCTGAGTTAGAAAGGTAGGTCTTTTTTCTAAAGGCAATGCCTTAAGAACATAAAATGTTGTTGTTGTTTCTTTATTTTTAACATGCACCTAGCTGTGCATGGTAGCTTACGTTTGTAATCCCAGCATATCGGGAGGCTGAGGCAAGAGGATTGCTTGAGCCCAGGAATTTGAGACCAGCCTAGGCAACGTAGTGAGATTTCATTTCTGCAAAAAATTTAACAACTATGTAAAGTGGTGTGTACCTGTAGTCCCAGTTACTTGGGAGGCTATGGAGGGAGGATCGCCTGAGCCCAAAAGGTTGAGGCAGCAGCTGTGGTCATGCCATTGCAATCCAGCCTGGGTGACAGAGTGAGACCGCGACTCAAAAAAAAAAAAAAAAAAAAAAGATAAATGTTAGCCAGGCGTGGTAGAGTGCGCCTGTAATTCCAGCTACTTGGAAGGCAGAGGCAGAAGGATCGCTGGAGCCCAGCTGGTCGAAGCTGCAGTGGCCGCTCCCGGCCACTGCTCCCGGCCACTGCACTCCAGTCTGGGCGACAGAGTGAGACTCCAACTCAAAAAAATAAAATAAATGTACACATTAAAGATCACTTGGAAAATATGGAATAGTAAAAAAAAAATTGCTATCTAAAGAAAACCATGGTAAATATTTCTTTTATTTTTTCTCATTTAATATTCGGTACATAAAACAGAATGTTTATAAAGTATGTATATGATATAAGGCATGATGATAAAACAAACATCTTTGTACCCAAAGGTTCAAAGTCAAACATTATTAATTTGATTTGATTGTGTGCACCTTCCTTCTCCTCTCAGAAATAAACATTGTCTTCAATTTTATGTTTGCCATTTCCCTGGTTTTTGTTGTATTTTTACCACATGTTTGTGTGTCTTGTTTTCATGATTTTGAACTAACACCTAAGGTGTATATTTTTCTATCACTTCATGTTATAAACTCATCATGCGATCCTGAGGTTTATGCATATTCTTGTCTATGGTAAAATTCACCTGCCTAGCTATGATGGACATTTACTTCCAGTTTTCTGCTTTTGCAAACAGTTCTACCTAGGAATATTTTAGAATGTAATAGCTTTCCTTTGGTATATATGTAAGAGTGTGATTACTCGGGTCGAAAGCTATGCACATCTTAAATTTTTTTTTTTTTTTTTTGAGTTGGAGTGTCACTCTGTCGCCCAGACTGGAGTACAGTGGCCGCTCCTGGCCACCGCAGCCTCCACCTGCTGGGCTCTGGCGATCCTTCCGTCTCAGCCTTCAGAGTAGCCAGAATTACAGGCATGCGCTACCACGCCTGGCTGATTTTTTGATTTATTGTAGAGATGAGGTCTCGCTGCCCAGGCGGGTCTCGAACCCGCGGGCTCAGGCAATCCACTCACCTCAGCCTCCCAAAGGCACGGGATTACAGGCTGAGCCACCGAGCCCGGCTGCACATCATAAATTTAACACCAAATGTTTTTGCCAATTTCCACTATTCCAGTTGTCTCCCATCCTTGCCAACAACTGATATTGTGAGACTTATTTTTTGCCAGTCTGCTGAGTAAGAAGTGATGTCTTATTGTGGCTTGAGCTTGCATTCCTCTTATTGCTAATGAGTTTGATCTCTTTTCTGAAAGTGGATCAATCTTTCATATTTCCTCCTCTGTAAAATGCTTATTCGAGTCTTACCTAATTTTTTTTAACTGTTTATCTTTCGCTTATTGATTTGTAGGAATTTATATCTTAAAGACTAATCCTTAGAGTTTTATGAATGCATAAAAATCTTTCTGAATGCATAAAATGCCTTCACTGAGGGAGTTTCCTGTTAAACACCCAGCCTCAAGGCAAATGCCTCAAGGCAAAAAAGTAACGCTACACCTTTGCTCATTTTTGTGAATGTCCATTCTACAGAGTTTGAGGCCTCTATAACTTGACAGTTTTTTCATGTATTTTAATAGTTGATTTTTAGAAAGTATATTTGAGGCTGAGAGAGATGGTTCATGCCCGTAACCCCAACACTTTGATAGAACAAGGTAGGAGGGTTGCCTGAGCCTAGGAGTTTGAAACTAGCCTGGGCAATACACTTCATCTATAGAAAAAAATCAGAAAAATTAGCCAGGCATGGTCGCATATACCTGTAGTTCCAGCTACTCAGGAGCCTGATATGGGAGAATCACCTGAGCTCAGGTGGTTGAGGCTGCAGTGCGCTGTGATGGTGCCACTGTACTCCAGCCTGGGTGAAAGACTATAACTCAAAAAAAAAAATTTTTTTTAATTGAGTTTAATTATTTATTTTTATTTTTTGAGCTGGAGTCTCAGTCTGTCGCCCAGGCTGGAGTGCAATGGCTCACTCTTGGCCACTGCAGCCTCGACCTGCTGGACTCCAGTGACCCTTTCTCCTCAGCCTTCCAGGTAACTGGAACTACAGGCATGTGCTACCATGCCTGGCTAATTTTGGATTTATTGTAGAAACAAGGTCTCACCATGTTTCCCAGGCTGGTCTCGAACCCACGGGCTCAGGCAATCCTTTCGCCTTGGCCTCCCAAAGTGCTGGGATTATAAACTTGAGCCACCACGCCTGGCCAATTATTATTTTAAAGATGGGTACAATTCAGGGTTAGGTATACAAATGGTCATTGTACAGAATGCAGAATTTTTAATTGCTTTCAATGAGAGATTTACTCTGTGTCTATTTTGGCTACATAATTTTATAGTGTTTTTAATATATCATACTTTTATGCTGTAATAAATTGTAAAATATTCTGCTTTATTTTTTTGCTTTATAACAGTTCTTTTCATATTGTGACAAATGCTTTATAAAAATAATTGCAGGCCGGGCTTGGTGGCTCAGCCTGTAATCCCAGCGCTTTGGGAGGCCGAGGTGAGTGAATTGCCTGAACCCGCGGGTTCGAGACCCGCCTGGGCAACTTGACGAGACCTCATCTCTACAACAAATCAAAAAAAATTAGCCGGGCATGGTAGTGCACACCTGTAGTTCCAGGTACTTGGAAGGCTGAGGCGGAAGATCACCAGAGCCCAGCAGGTCGAGGCTGCAGTGACCGGGAGCGGCCACTGCACTCCAGTCTGAATGACAGAGTGAGATTCCAACTCAAAAAAAAATAAAAATAAAAATAATTGCAATTGCTACATAATATCTTATATAATGGATTATTTTAATCTGTTTAATCATAACTTTTTTTAGCTACAAAGGTTTTTTGCTGCTGTAATCAGTACTCTAATGAATAAAAACATTTTATTGTGCAAAAGGTTTTATCATGATTAGGATTAATTCCTTATAGTAAATTGTGAAAACTGAATTAATGGGTCAAGAGATATGAGTAGTTTTAAGACTACGTGGTTTTTTTTAATAAGAATTGTACTAATTTGTAGCTCATTAGCGTGTTCAAGAATGCAGTTTTTGCTTTACTGAAGTGAACTTTATTCTTTTATAGTGTTTTTCCCATTTTTGCTAATATTTTATTATGAAACTTATCAAACACCCAGAGAGTTCAACTGGGTTGTGCAGTGAATATTCATAACACTATCACCGAGAGACTACAGTATTAGCAGTTTTCTTTACCATAACCATGTATATTGCATATATCTCCATATTTTCGATACTGAAGTGAACTTGAAAACGAACAAACTCTCTAATCTAGGCATTTTATAGACAGCCCTATCTGCCTGTTAAAGCTTACATTTAAAGCCATATGTAGGTCCCTTTGTGAATAAGTAGTGAATTCATATCCTTTCAAAAAAGTTAAATATGGAGAATTTATTCTGAAAGCTTAGAATTTATTGCATTAAACAAAACAATATCACTTTTTTCTAACTGTGCCTCATTAGGTATCTTGAAAATTACAAATGCTATAGAAAAATGGAAGAGAAAATTTGCACTAACCTCAGCAAAATGGAGACAGTTCTTGGGCAGGCCATGTCTCTAACACCGGTGTCTTACAAAGAAGCTTTGGAACGCTGGGAACAGAGCAAGGTAATAGTATTTGCAAGTCTCTGTGTGCAAAACATCCCCAGAGCAAACAAGTGAATGACCCAGAGAATGTTGCTCAGTTATGACCCACAGAAATCTTCAGGCTGAGTTGTACACCCATGAAAACTCTTCAGATCAAAAGCCAGAGAGAAAAACATGAAGCGGTGGTCCGACAGTGTTAATTAATTAGACTCATAGGACAGTTGTCCCCCAGTAGCATCCAGTCCTTATTGATGGCCTTCCCAAAGCTTCACCTTTCATGTTACTTTGAGGGATGCAGCTGAATCACTGACTGAGCCTTATGTCCACTGAATGCTTACTACAACTGTCCTAAACGCTAAATCCTGGACACTTCTTAGACTCTGTTACTAAGCATTTTAGATTTTGTTTATTTTTCGTCTGTTAAAATGTAAGGAATTATGTTATTAGGATTTGGACGAGGACATTCTAAATCTTCTGTTCTTAACATCCGCCAAAAACAAAAGCAAACCAAAAAAATACTCTTTAATGTTGTGTTGGTGGTTGATACAGGAGGTATTGTGCAAATGAGCTGCCTGGTAAAATATGGGACTTAAGTTAAAATAACAAAATGTACATAGTCCTCCCTTATCCAAGACCCTGTGGATGCCTGAAATTATTGATAGCACCAAACCCTATCTACCCTATGTTTTTTCCTATACATACATAATTATGATAAAGTTTCATTTATAAGTGAGTCACAGTAAGAGATTAACAATAATAACTTATAATAGTAAAATAGAATAATGATAACAATAGACTAATAAAACCTATGTGAATGTGATCTCTGTCTCAAAATATCTCATTGTACTGTACTCGCCTTTCATCTTGTGATGATGCAAGGTGGTACAATGTCGACATGATGGGATGAAGTGAGGTGAATGAGGTAGACCTTGTGAGGTAGGCTACTATTGACCTTGAACATGAGCATCATCACATCAGTTGATCTGATAACCAGGTGACTCACAGGTGGGGAAGGTAGACAGCATGGAGACCCTGGACAAAGGATGATTCATGTCCCAGGTGGCATGGAGCAGGATGGTATGAGATTTTGTCACCCTACTCAGAATGGCATGCAATTTAAAACTTATAAATTATTTCCTTCTAGAATTTTTCATTTATTATCTTTAGATCATGGTTGACCACGAATAACTGCCAACAAAATCATGGATAAGGGGGGAAATATGTACATCTAGAAGAATTACTTTTGAAAACACATTTTTACTTGGTAAAATGAATCTATGGGTCATTTTTTGTCCCTGTAGTCCCAAATTCATGCAGAATACAACAATACTTAGCTAATTCTCATCTGGCCCAAATTGACTTTCAAAAGGACAAGAAAGAGATCACATAATACTTATGGAATATTAAATCATTAAATGTGCAAGATTTAAAATAGTTTATACATTTCAGAAAAAAATAATAGATAGTATGTCTCTTCTGTCCTTTTTCTTTTCTTTCTTAAGACCTTGGTGTCGAATCTTCTATTAACCAAAGAAGAGTTAATGAAACTACGGCAGAGCCTCAGACACTTGAGACCCAGGTGCACAGAAAATGATGGCATGTGTTTGCTCCGAACCATGTCTGCCCTGTGGGAAAAATGGCTGAGTTTACTGGAAGCTGCCAGAGAGTGGGAGATGTGGTGTGAAGAACTGAAGCAAGAGTGGAAATTTGTCAGTGAAGAAGTGAGTGCTTCATTTTTAACAGTCAAACCATATAGTTTCCTAACAAATGTTACATAAATTGTTTTATTACTTTCATTTTGTTTTTATATAAAAATGGGTGTAAGGCCAGGTGCAGTGATTCACGCCTGAAATCCTAGTGCTTTGGGAGCCAAGGCAGGAGGATTGCTTGAGCCCAGGAGTTCAAGACCAACCTGTGCAACATAGCAAGACCTCATCTCTACAAAAAACCAAAAAATTAGCCAGGCATGGTGGCACACGCTTGTAGTCTCAGTTACTCGGGAGGCTGAGGCAGAAGGATTGCCTGAACCCAGGAGGCAAAGGCTGTGGTAAGCCACCATTATGCTACTGCACTCCAGCCTGGGCAACAGAGTAAGATTCCAACTCAATAAATAAATACATACAAGTCCACAACTGGTATCACTGGGTACATCACATATACATTTAGGACTGCTGAACGTTGATAGAGGTCAGACTCTATTAAAATAATTTCCAAGAAGTTATTCAGATTCTTTTATAACAATGATAAAAAATCAGATAATTCTTTTTTTTAAAATACTGCAATGTAAGCTTTATTTTCTTTAATTACATTTAAAAATTTTAGATTCAGGGGTACAGTGTGTGTTTGTTACGTGGGCATATAGCATACTGTGGCTTTAGGTGTCCCCATTCCCCAAATAGTGAACATTGTACCCGATAGGTGGCTTCTAAACCTCATCTCCTCTCCTTTTTAATGTCCCCAGTGACTATTATTTCCATCTTTTTATGTTCATTTAGCTCCCATATAGAAGTGAGAGCATGCAGTGTTTGGTTTTCTGTCTGAGTCAGTTTACTTAGGGTGATGATCTCCATCTCCATCCATGTTGCTGCAAAGGACATGATTTCATTCTTTTTGTGTGTGTGTGTGTGTTGGAGTCTCACTCTGTCACCCAGACTGGAGTGCAGTGGCCGCTCCCGGCCACCGCAGCCTCGACCTGCTGGGCTCCGGCAATCCTTCCGCCTCAGTCTTCCAACTAGCTGGAACTACAGGCACGTGCTACCACGCCGGCTAATTTTTTGATTTATTGTAGAGATGAGGTCTCACCAGGTTGCCCAGGCGGGTCTCAAACCCGCGGGCTCAGTCAGTCCACTTACCTCAGCCTCCCAAAGCACGGGATTACAGGCTGAGCCACCAAGCCCAGCAATTTCATTCTTTTTTATGTCTGTATAGTATTCCATGGTGTATATCTACCACATGTATCCTTATCCAGTCAACCTTGAATGGGTACTTCGGTTGATTCCATGACTTTGCTATTGTAAATAATACTGCAATGAACATATGAGTACAGATACCTTTTTTTTTTGTTTTTTTTTTTGAGTTGGAGTCTCACTCTGTCGCCTGGACTGGAGTGCAGTGGCCGCTCCCGGCCACCGCAGCCTCAACCCGCGAGGCTCCGGCCATCCTTCCGCCTCAGCCTTCCAAGTAGCCGGAATTACAGGCATGCGCTACCACACCCGGCTGATTTTTTTATTTATTGTAGAGATGAGGTCTCGCTGCCCAGGCGGGTCTTGAACCCTCGGGCTCAGGCAATCGATTCACCTCAGCCTCCCAAAGGCACGGGATTACAGGCTGAGCCACTGAGCCCAGCTCAGATACCTTTTTTATATAATGATTTCCTTTGGGTGGATACACAGTAGTAGGATTGCTGAGTCTGATGGCAATTCTATTTTTATTTTCTTTGAGAAATCTCCATGCTGTTTTCAATAGAGATTGAACAAGTTTGCGTTCTTACCAATGATGATTTTCTTTTCTGCGCATCCTTGCCAACATCTGTTGTTCTTTGACTTTTTTAATGACTGATGTAAGATGGTATTGCATTGTGATTTTTATTTGTTTTTCTCTGATGATTAGAGATGTTGAGCATTTTTTCATATGTTTGTTGGCAACTTGCACCTCTCTATTTGAGAAGTATGTGTTCATATCCTTTGCCCACTTTTTTTTTTTTTTTTTTTTTT